TTTTTTTTTTTTTTTTTTTTTGTTCTTTCTTCTTTTTAAGAGCTGACAGAAACAGGGTTTTCTTGTAATTTGGAGTCCAAGGCTGAGCATATTTCAGCACCACGCCTGCCATTTCTCTTTGACTCTTCCCGTGCGATATTTTCTCGGCGCCCGCGGTGCCGCGGCTCAGATAAAACCATCAGTTCTGCTGCTCCCCCCCCCACCTACAACTGATGTTCTTATTAGGGCTCGGTCCATCTGTAAAACATAAATTTCCCCACCATCCGTTTGCCGAGGGGATTGGAATCACACACCCAGCGACTCCGGTTTGACAAATTGGCCCCGTGTTAACGCGCAGCCACTTTGTCCTAAAAAGACAAAATAGGTAGGTAGGAAACAAATGAGAAAATGCCACTTGATGGATGGTCTCGCAATCCAATCGCAGCACGAGAGGGGAATCGGGGCTCCATTTGGGAAGAAAAAAAAAGGAAAAGGAGAATTTAAGGATCGCAGCAGGTTGGCTGGAGCTGTAATAGCTCCAGAGCCGCCAGCCAGCATCAATAAAGTCAGCGACAGAGCTCTTGGCTCAGTCAGTCCAGGAATAAACTCCTGCTTCATTTCAGCAACCCATGTTCTCGTGCCCTCCTTTGCTGCTGACACCCCAAAATTCCTTCTAGCACGGCGTTAAATTTTCCTACACTAACAAGTCATTTAGGACTCTGAACAGTGATAGATCTTATTGCCACCGGCTCTCCAAAGAGTGACTCATGGCCCTATTTAAAACCCTCTGGAAAAGCTCGGGCTCCTCCCGCCACAAGCCTGGGTTCCTCGGTCTGGAGGCACGACCCCCCAGCCAGATCCCTGAGGAATCCTGGCTCTGGGATTCCCTCTGTCCCCTGAGCATCCCCCCCATCTCTCTTCAGGTGCCATCCCCCACTCTCCCACTGCTGGCTCTGGAACGTGGACCCGAAGCGGAGCTCTCGCCCTCTTTGCACCGCCCTCCTCAGGGACTGTGCGAGGCAGAAATCGAGGATAATTTGTTCCCCTGAGTTGCTGTCCCTGCTTCTCTCAGGGTTTTGCATTAGCACTTGTTGCCATAGTACCAACAGCGGCGGCAAAGTTCTCTGGGGGCCTCCTGGGACCCATTCCTTGTCCTACGAGGGCCATCGCTCTAATTCAGGCAGGATTGAGGTGGGGAGATGTGGAATTTTCTGCCTCCTAGTCTTTGCTAAAGGTGCTGTCGGTGAGAGAGAGGCTGTTCCTTGGAAGCAGCAGCAGCAGCCACATCATCTCACTGCACCACTAATGTGGTGCTGGGCATGGGGCAGCATGGCAAGAAAGCCAGCAGTGTGTGAGGGAGAGGAGTGGAAATAGTCCCTGCTGTCCCTGGTGCCCATCAGTTCCCGGGTTTTTCCCCTTCCCCATGGGACAGCCCCATGCTGGTGATGCTGCCTTTGGCTGAAGCAGCCCCAGCCCTGAGCCTGAAAACAGCTTTTCCCTGTGCCAGAGGAGAGGGATTGGACTTCCCAAGACCTTGCTCCTCACTCCTGGCACGGTGGGGTGAGGCAGGCTGTGACCCCAGGGCCAGCTCTGCAGCCCTTGACCCACCCACACCACCGACACTCCATTTTGATGGCTTTTTCGGGACAAAGGATAATCCCCGCTCGGAAAAGCCTGAGCTTTCCTGACTTCCAAAGCGAGGCAGAACCTCACGTTTCCAGCGTGTCTGAAAACATAAGCCTGAAAACTCCGGAAAATGGGATTAAGACAAGCCTGCCCTAGAAGGGCATTGCTAGATCTCGTTAAGCACTTCTGAATTGTCATGCGAAAAGAGAGGAGCGTCGCCGCCTTGGCACAATTACCTCTGCTTTTGTACCTCGCGGGTCGCCACGCTCCACATAACAGCCAACACCCTGATAACATATGGGCTCCCCAGAGCTCCCGGTGCCCGCAGCCAGATCCCGAGAGCTCCCTCGGCATCATATCAGCACAGCTGCCACCTCGGGTGGGAACCCGCGCTGCGCCGGGTCCCTTATCGCACACAGCCCGTCACGGCTCGTTTGCGACGAGAGGGTGGAATCAAACACGCTTTCATCCAGCTTCAGCCAGACAGTGGCTCCCAGGCCTCTTCGGGACACAATGTATTTATTTTTGGCTCGGGAGGAGAGATCAGATTGCATCCATGGGTTTGATTTAACGCACAGATACAATCGGAACAGCGTGAGTAGAACGAAGGCATTTTTGGCTCCCGTTTCGGAGCCTCCTCTCAAAACCGGTCCCTTGTTGGGGGGGTTGTATTTCTTTGGGAAAAATTGATGGTATCAACAAGTATCAAACAATATCCTCGTTACTCGGGAAAGGTAAATGCTAATCTATGCGAGCTGAGCTCATGTGACTTATCAGTTGCTATATATAGTTGTTTTCAGGCACTGATTTAGGGAATCTGGCAGGTTTCCTAAGCCTTTGTACAGACACACCAGTGAAATGGAAAAGACAAAATACACAAGCAAAGCAGAGGGGGGGAGAAAGAAAAAATCTGACAGGGCCAAAATGGCCCTGAGGGTGAGGGAGGACCAACCCCTCCCCACGAGCAGCCACACAACGTTAAATCCAAGTGAGGATTCAGCCCAAACCCCTCTGCCTAAGATGGCCTCTCGCTCACGGTCGTCGCACTGACAGAGGGAATAAACAGAATTCAAAGGGCACAGGGACTTGTCATTCTCCTTCACTCACGAGGATGTGAAATGCTTCTCCCGGAGCAGGTATGTGAGCAGAGAAACATCCCCTCAAACCCCACGTCCGCGTGGGAAGAGACTCCTCCGTACCGGGAGTTTGTTTGCAAACATATGCACGTTTTAAAATTGGAGGCTCTGCGAGTTTGTGGTGTCTTTAAGGAAATATTCTGGGTAACACGAGCTAGGAGAAAATAGAGGGAGGAAGAAATCACTGATGCAAACCCAAATTCCTTAAAATAAGGCTTCCCCACCCGCGATCTTGAGCAGAAAAGGCACAGCCGAGCAAGATGTGCAGGGAGAAATCCTCCGGAGAGTGTTGTCCTGCACAGCCCCCCTGCCCCAAAAGCCTCCCTGCAGCTTCTGTGTGATCACCCCTGTCGATCCCATTGTGCCTCCTGCCTGAGCCGTTGGCACTGGGGGATGTGGAGGAGGAAGAGGAGCTGGCGCTGAAGGCAGCGGAGCCCCCGACCACCTGCAATCCCACACCTCCCGCTCCAGACAGCCCCTGCTCCCACGGGAAGGAAGGAGACACTTCCCCTCCATCTCAGTGAGAGGCGGATCAGCTCCTCGGGGGCTCGGCAGATAATTGCCAAGTCGCCTGCCAGAATTTCCTCCTGACAGTCACAACTTGGAAGCGTCGGAAGAAAATGTCTGCACCTGGGCTGTGGAGTCGGCGGGCTCGGGGGGCAGGGAACGGAGCCTGCACGGGGCAACGCACACCCCCCCCCCAGCTCCAGATGCTCCAGATGTTGTGCAGAGGCGCCTTTTTGCTCTGCTTTGCCAGGAAAACCCAAAAGCTTCCTACTGTCTCCCAGCCGAGAGCGAGGCAGCAGGGAGGGCACGCGGGGTTCATCTCCTTTGATCCCGGCGACGACAACTCCCTCCCGCATTTCAGGCTCATCCACAGGGACCATCGAGGTCCTTGGCGTGCAGGGGGGGAGAGGGAAGGGGCAAAATCCACACTGAGCCCCGGCTCTTCCCAAAGGAGAGGAGCCCGCCATCAGCGGGACATCCCGGCCCTTCGCTCCAGGGCTGGAGCCGCATCGGGGAGTCTCTTCCCCACCCACCCCGGGCTGGGTGGGGGTCTTGCTCCCACCCCAGTGCGCCGGGGAGAGTGGGGACACCCTGGGGACACCTGGGACATCCCGACCCCGAGGGACAGGGGAAACGGCAAGGGCAGGACGTGGTGTGGGTCACCCCCACCACCCCAGCACCGGAGTTGGTGGCATCTCCTGCGTGCCAAGCCCGTCCCGGCCGTGTCCGGAGTGTCGGGGCGCTGCGGGCAGGCGGCGGTGCCCGCGGAGTTCAGCACCCGGGACAGCTCTGGCACAGCCCGCTGCGGGCGGGGGGACCAGCTCACCCCTCACCTTCCCCCCGAGCACTGCTCCCCCCCGCCCCGGGCACTGATCCCCCCGGGACACTGCCCCTCCACCAGGAACACTGCCCCCGCCCCCCGGGAACTGCATCTCCAGGGAAAACTGCCCCCCACCCCAGAAGACTGACATTCCGCCCCCACCCCCGCCCGGAAAACCGCCCCTTTGCCCTCCCTAAAAACTTCCCATATTAAGCCCCCCCGACCCCCGGAAAGCTGCCGATCGCGGCCCCTGCCCGCTCCGGACCCATCGCATCCGGCACCCGCCCGCTCCGGCCCCTTTCCCTTCCTTCCCTTCCCTCGCCGGGCAAAGTGCCGGCTGTCCCGGGCTCGCTGCCCGCCGCTCCCGCTGCCCACCCCCGCACTCCCTGCACCTGCCCCTGCCTGCCCTTCCCGGGAAAAAACCTTCCCCGGATCCCCCGCGCCAGGAGCCCCCTCGCCCCATCCAAACTTGGTGCGCGGAGTTGCGGGGGAGGGAGACACCGATTCCCGCAGCGCGGGGGGAGCCGGGCACGGGGGCGGTGGGCGAAGTTCTCGGGGGACCCCCGGGGCGCGGAGGGGCGAGGGAGGGGGCACAGCACGGCCCGAGGGGGTGCGGTGGGAGCCGCGTCTCGGCGCGCCCACCCACGACCCGGCTCTCCGGACCGGCAAAGCGGCTTTCCCCGGGCAGACCCCACGCGTGTCCCCCGCCCCGCGGAGCCCTCCTGTCCGCACCGGCGGGGCGGGGGTCCCGCTGCCGTCCCTCCTTTTCCCCGGCCAAGAGCTCGGCGCAGCCCCGGTGCCCCGAGGCGGCGGCAGCGCTTCCGACGGGGCGCACGGTCCCGCGGGGCTCCGCGGCCGGTCCCGCACCCGCTGCCCCGCCGCAAAGTTTCCCGGAGAAGCGGCGCCCGGAGCGGGGCTGGGGGGGCACCTACCGTGCGGCGGAGAGGAGCCGTGCCCGGCCCCGCGCCCGTGCCCGGCCCCGCATCCCTCCCGGCGCGGCGCTGGGCTCGGCTGGGCTGGCAGGGGGGGAGCCAGTCCTCGCTGCGCCCCTTTATCCCAGCATCACCGAAACGAATCCGCTTTGACGTCCAACCAGGGTTTTTATGGGTGTGGAGCGAGCCGGTGCAGCCCTCATTAGGAGACACTCTGCTCTCCAAATCATATATCTTTTATATAACCTCATTTCCAGCGTGGCTTTTCTTCCCCCTCCCTCCCCTTGCCGGGGAGCGTCGCCCACCCCCCTCCCCAACTCCCCCACCAATTAAAGAGCTGAGAGACACCCCCCGGCCCCCACTTGTTGCCGGGAAGCTCCGCTCCACTGCCCGCGGGCTCAGCTCAGTCCGCCCCGGGGGAGTGGGGGGCTCTGCCTGACCCGGGGGGCTCAGCAGTCCCCAGCTCCCTGCCCAGCCGTGCTGCAGCCCCCCCAGTCCTGCTCCCAGCCAGGTTATGCTGCAGAAAAGCCCCCTCTTTCCTTGGCAGCCCCCTCTGCCCGCTCAGTGCCCGGGGCTCACAACACCAGCCCCTCCTGGATATCCCAGTGCCCCCAGCCCGGATCCAGGCAGTGCTGGGACAGCCCTGTACCTCCGCTGCTGGAGCTGAACCTGGGCTGCACGCAGGGGACAGAACAAAGGGTCTCCTCACCCCATTTCCCCTCCTGACTCTTTACCTGCCCCCAGCAAGGCCCAGTGCAGACCCAGGCTTGACATCAGTCTCCAGGCTTTGGAACTGCGCTCATTCCCATGGCAACAACAAACACACAATTATAGATATATAATATTATATAAACCAAGTGGGCTCTCGGGCAGGAGTGTGAGGTTCACCTGCTCTCAGCCTCTTCCCGAGCTCAGGAGGCAGCTCCCACCAGGGCACAGAGAGGTGGCTTCAAGCCTGGTGAAGATCCACAGCCCGTGGATGCCCGGCAGCTCCGGTGCCACCCACCCCGGGCAGCCCCACAGCCTGCCCCACTGCCTGGGCGAAGGCAGGCAAACAGCACACAGCACAGCAGGCCATTCAATCACGAAACTTCCCACAGGGAAGGGAAAACCGAGCAGCCCTGCTCCTCCAGGCACCCCGGGAGCTGCGCAGAGGTGGAGGAGGGCAGGGGACAGGCAAACGCAGCAGCAGAGCTGGGGCTGCTTCCCCCGTTCTCCCCGCTCCTCACACTAATCACCAGAGCTGTGTGCACCGTCTGGGGCTAATGAAAACATGATTATGACTATTTAGATGCAGGAGGACTAATCTAATAGCGAGCTAGCCAACGACATCTGCTCTGATCCACTGGTCAGGGAATCCTGCCCCGTGGAGGGATGAGTGGGCACACGCTGGTGAGGAAGGGCTTTGTGACCCCGTCGCAGGCTGAGAACACTCAGTGCGGCTGAGAAAAGTCCAAACCCTTCTCCCTTCAGTGCTCAGAGCTCTGAGCACGGCCTTAGAGCTGCAGGGCTGTGTGGGCTGGTGATTATCAGGGAGGCTGGTCCCCCTCGGATGGGGTGCAGGTGGATGGGGGTGGGTGCAGCGTGGCTGCAGGTCCAGCTCACAGGGCCGAGGGGTGTGATGGCACCCGTGTGGTGTTCGAGGGGACTCTGCCCTGCCAAAGCCACCCTGACACACGACAGGGGTTCTGGCCAGCAGCACCTCGCTGCTCCCCTGCCCTCCTGCCAGGGAGGCGCATCCACTGGAGGCAAAGCCTTGCTGGGGAAGCAAAGCCCTGAGTGCTGGGACGAGGGTGAGCAGGGCTCCCTGTGCCCCTCCGGGACACGGGTTTGGAAGTGCAGCTCACCCACCCACCCCCCACCACCCTGCAGCAGCACCCTCGGCAGGACCCCCGCCCTCTGCACCGGCCCGGAGTTTGGGAACTGCTCATCCCTGTGCCACGTCCTCCCAGGGCACGGCAGCACCTCCTTCACCCGCAGAGAACCGAGTGGGAACACGCTCATTTTCGGATCATCTGCAGCTTTGCTGCCGCCCGTAAATCCGGGCGAGCCGGGAGCGAAGTGTCAGAACTGGAAGGGACCCGCCGGCCTGTGCTTGTCCTGTGCTCCCCCCGCGCCAGGGAGGAGCCCCAGGTAGCCTTTCCCTCCAGCTGGAAGCCATGAGTCAGCCCGGAGAGGAAGGCTTGGAGGTGCACAAACAACCGTCTGTGAACGGAGAAGGTGGAGCGAGACCCTCTCCAGCACATCCGCCCCCAGCGAGCCCGTTCCCACACAGCTCTTGGGGTGACAGCAAAGGTTTGCACCTCCCTTCCTCCAGCAAAAATTGTTTGGGGACAGGATGTCCCCACAGGGAACATATTCCTGTCATCCTGCCTCGTCCTCCTCGGGTAGCAAGAGCCCCGGAGAAACCCCCTCCTGCCCAGCCCTGTCCATGGAAGTTGCTTCCCCCCTTCCCACAGCTGGGAGCAAATGCAAGCAGCGCTACCGAGCAAGTTATCCCCCAAAACTGCTCGGCAGAGGAAGAACAGCCTCTTCCCTGCCCCTCACGCAGCTGCTCCCCGGTTCCCCCTCTCCTCTGAAAGCAGCTCAGCGCCTCTTGCCTCTGGCCATATGCTGCCAGCGGTTAGAGAAGCCAAATATAAACGCAGCAGTTAATGCTCACCCAAGTTTCCTTCCCACCCCCACCCCCCCTCTCAAATCCTGGCTCTTTTCCCCTCTCCTGCTGCCCTTCTCCCTCACCCACCTCTCTCTGGGGAGCCAGCGGCGCCGGGGGCTCCAGCGGGTGCGTGGCAGGGAGCTGGAGCCGGGAATGCGAGCCGGCTGCGCTGCCGGAGCTCCCCGCCCGCCGCCGGGAATGTGCCGCTCAGGATGCTCGGCTCTCTAAGATCCTTAGGAAGCCGCGGCCCCGGCACGGATCACACACACAATATCCCCGGCAGCTCCGGAGTTATTCGGCTGCTATTTCCATGCAACTCGAAATGCGTTCGAGGGATTATTGCCCGGGGACTAAAGAAACGGCTGAACATATTTATACTAAAGCTTTAGGAGCCTGTGGAACCGCACACACACACACACACACACACACCAGCTGATAGCGGGGTCTGGCACAGAGACTGCGGCGATTTGGGACAAATCCCAGGATTGTCTGTCTGTGCTCTAGTTTAGAGCGGGCGCCGATGCTGGTGCTTGCCTAGAGGTGGCAGTGAGCCTTCGCTCTTCTCGCCCCGAACGCGGCTCAGGAGGGCCCGGGAAGTCCCGGCCGAGCCGGAGCTCTGCCCTCTCCGCTGGGCCGGCGAAGGGTTTGCTGTGGGCATCCAAAAAAACGCCCCCCAAAAAACGTGGGCATCGAAAAAATGCGCATCCAACACCCCACCCCCCCCAAATACCGGTGTCGAGCCCACAGGTGTGACCTGCAGAATCAGGTGACCCTGATCAGCTGTGACCCATCCAGAATCCCCCCTGAGCACACCCCCGCCGCAGATTCAGGTGAGTCTTTGGCATCCTCCCCTCCGCACGGTGCCCGGGGCACAGGGTGGGCGTTGCTGAAATCCAAACTGCCTTTAGCACGGGGTAGAAACTGGGTTTTACCACATCCAGGCTGCCCTTCAGACCTGGCAGCACGTGGCCGAGGCAGCTCCCTTTTAGAAACATCCCTGTGCCACCTCCCAGCTCCACCAGCCCTATGACTTTTTTTGGGGGGGGGAAGGGGAAACCCTTTGCTCCCTACAAGCTGTAACAACCCCTGGACTACCAGGCAGAGCCGTGGCAACGTGAAGGCTTCCAGCACAAACACCAACACCCCACAAGACACCTGTAAACCCCACCAAAAGCTTCATACAAGTCCTAAAACTCCCCGCAGCGGGGGTCAGAGTTGGGAATGTGCTGCTGGGAAGATTCCTTCGGAGCGTGGCTCAGCCTCCCAGGGCACCGAGTGGGTTATGAAGGGTGATCTCTCTCTCTCACACGTGGGCACACACACACACACACACACGAAATCTAATAAAAAGATATTAGTCGAGGAGTATTTGGCTCCTGGCATTCAACTATCTCGAGCTTCATACAGACACCAAAGAAATGAAATTATGGGAGCACACAAACAAGAAATTCCAGGGGGATGAATTAATGCTTCATCGCTGTTACAGGGCAGAGAAGTACCTGTCTGTCTTCCCTTGCATTTCTTTCTTCTTGGACTTCAAAATATGATCTCCCCCCCCACCTTTAAAAGTCACGACAGCGTGTTTCCTCCAGCCCTACCACCTTTCCATCAAAACCAAAATCGCTTTCATTATCATTTTAAGGACACGTCGGAGGGCTGACAAACGCACAAACGGGGTTCAAGGGCTTCTTGTAAACCCGGGGACTAATTTAGACAGATTTAAAAAAAAAAAACCCCTCCTGCTTTAAGACCTCCCTGCACAGCCTGAAAGGGGTTCGAGTCCCTTCTGGGTTATTCAGATGCAAACGCTGTTTTGAAGCACAAGTGTCTGAGCCATCCACCGGCAGCTGGAAGTTTGGGGGCAGATGCTTCGCAGCAGCAGCAGAGCTACACGACTCCAGTGGAATCAGCAGAATCGAGATCATTAAAGCCAGCTAAAACCAGCCAGTCCTCGGGATTTTGTACCATCTGAGTCCCTATTTCAAGCCTTTCTGGTGGGATCGGGCCCCCAAGCAGCACCTTTTCACCTTTAGGTCGATTACGGGCGTAATTACAAAGCAGAAAAGCCACTTCTGTGTCGACCTTAAGCAGCGCGTTTAGAGGTTTAAATTTGTTTTCTTTTTTTCTATGCAGTGACACATTTCAGAGGGCTGCAGGTTAAAGACTCTCTTGAAAAGACCCAAATCCTTAATCTTAAGTGAAAAGTTATCACCGGAGGACCTTGGGGTGGGTGGTGACAAACACAGGAAAGGGCCCTGCGTCAGCCAGGGCTCTGGGTAAATAGGGCCGGGGAGGAGAGTGGCGGGCTGGGAGCAGCCTGACGAGCCTGATAAGCCAAATCTGCAAAGCATTCATTGCAAAAACCGACACAAAGCAAACCCAAAAGCAGAGGAACAGCTGCTGTCGAGTCCTTAATTTCTAAAGAGGAGCAAGAAGGAAAATAAAAAAAAAAAATTAAATAAAAAAAAAGCCCAAAATAACCCACTCCCCACCGGCAAAGCCCCTCCCGTGCTGCCCCACAGGGGGGGTGGGAGGGAGGCTCCAGCATCCCTGCTCCCCCCAG